ATTCTCTCTGCCAGACTGAAGATAAAGCAACCATCTGATTTTCAGACTACTGAAATTTAATACAGTACATATATACCCTATCAAATACACATATAAATACACACTAAGCTGCTAAATCCCTAGAGGAAAAGGAGCTAAAATATACTGAGCTCTATGTGTCAGGAAACAGAGATTTCATTTAATCCCCACAAACACCTTGCAATGTAGGTATTATTATTCCTATTTTTATAGACGAGAACACTGAAGCTCAGACAGATTAAATGACTTACCCAAGGTGACAAAGCTAGTAAGTAGCAGAATCAAGACTTGAACTTAGTTTTGCCTACCTCCAAAGCCTACACTGTTCCTGACTTTTTCTTCTCAGCAGTGTAACTAAGGCAACCTTCTTGGGTCTTCATTTCACCTTAATTCCTGATATGTACTTAAACGCGGGTCCTGGTTTTGTATCTATAACTTCACGGAGGGACAGAGAAAAATTTTCCAGAAGATTTCTTCTTTGTCTTTTATTTACATACATTTACTTCATATTCCTGCACACATTATTTTTTTTTAGGTTAAATCACTTCCAGTCAGCATTTCAGCAATTAATATATGTGAAGGGTGAAAGCTCTGTTTCCTTCTTTTAACACTTTAATAGCCATAGGTTTTGAGCAGGGTATAATTTTCTAAGCTGAGTCTTGCCATTTAAAGAGTGTTAGTGCTTACTGCAATGCTTCACACACAGTAGGTGCAGAGGGAGAATATTTGCAAAGTTTTCTTTATTCTTCTAGTTAACTTGCTATATTTAAATCAAAAGACTTTACAGGAGTCCAATTCTAAGAATGAATTAGAATTCACATTAAAGAAATTTCGTGGAAATTTTTTTTACATAATTCAGAAAATAAAGGTAAACTGAGATATAATGATCTAGCTGTCAAGCCTCTCAATGACTAACTAGTGGACTGTGAACTTAAGAGTTTAAAAGGCTTGGTTTTAAAATACTTATTTTTTGTTCTTCTGAATAACTTTTGCAAGTGCTTCTTGCCCTCTCTACAGAAAAAAAAAAAAGACTGAAATAACCATAAACACAGACAACTGTTTTGCTAAGGATGACTTTTTTCCTGTCTTTTATATATTAAAATATTTCTGCAATAAGTATACTTTTTTTGTTTTTTTTGCAGTACGCGGGCCTCTCACTGCTGTGGCCTCTCCCGTTGCGGAGCACAGGCTCCGGACACGCAGGCTCAGCAGCCATGGCTCACGGGCCAGGCCGCTCCGCGGCACGTGGGATCCTCCCGGACCGGGGCACGAACCCGCGTCCGTACTCTCAACCACAGCGCCACCAGGGAAGCCTTACATTATTTTTATAATTATGGAAACTGATCTGACTCTGAATAAACTGTATTTTTTAACACTTTCTATACAGTGTGGGGTTTTTTTTGTTTGTTTTTTAACATCTTTATTGGAGTATAATTACTTTACAATGGTGTGTTCGTTTCTGCTGTATAACCAAGTGAATCAGCTATACATATACATATATCCCCATATCTCCTCTCTCTTGCGTCTCCCTCCCACCCTCCCTATCCCACCCCTCTAGGTGGTCACAAAGCACCGAGCTGATCTCCCTGTGCTTTGCGGCTGCTTCCCACTAGCTATCTGTTTTACATTTGGTAGTATATATAGGTCCATGCCACTCTCTCACTTCGTCCCAGCTTACCCCGCCCCCTCCTCGTGTCCTCAAGTCCATTCTCTACGTCTGCGTTACAGCGTGGTTTTATTTTCCTTCTCAGATATAATCTGTAGGAATTAAGTATTCATTAATTCATGCATGTGCCTCCAGAACAACTTGTTACATAATATCAGCACATTAAAGATAATTACTTTTCTTTCCATTCAAGAATGCTTTTCTTGCTTTAGGTGGATATGTCTCTATCTTTGTATTCTTTTCAAGCAGGTGCAGGTTTCTTGTGTAATCTCTATAGAACACTGAATGTCAATCTTTTCTTGGTAAGAAGCACAAGAATGACATTTGCCCCTGACATAGCCCCAATTTATATGTCTTTTAACTTTATGTATGTTACCTTTTCAATGACATAAAAGTACTTCAATCACAGTGGAACCCAAAAGGAACGAGCTGCTTTATGTGAGATCTCCCATAAGGGGATCCCTGTGCTAGGTGAGAGATTCATACAAGCTGAATTTTATGGCTCCCTTCACTATTTTAGGATTTTAAAATACTTTTTTAACAAATTACTTTAGTGAAACAATGAATCACATACTGGCCTCTGCTGTGTTGAGTCCTTTTCCCAGCTCACTGTTCAAATCAACCCAAAGAAGATGCCCTCCTGATCCAGCTTAATTTAGCAAGCTATCTGATTACTTCTTGAGGAGACCAAATTCCCATAACATTAATAGTTTCTTGCTACTTGAAATTATCAAAATGTGCTGAAATAATGCAGTCAGCAAAATGTCACTGTATGACTTACATATGGATCTGCTGCAGCCTGTAAAAACACTGTCTCCATGAGGGACAGCCAAAATGAAGAGTTATGTGGGAGTAATAAAATATGGTAACTAGGCCTGCAACTTCAAGTATAAACCCAGCTGCGCATGCACACGCGCGCGCACACACACACATCTACAGGAAAGCCTGCTGATAATAAAAGCAAGAAAAACCCAAAGCACGTCCAGCACGAGTGCACTCTACAGCAGGACTGTCAGGGAACTGTCCTTTCAGCACCACGGCAAGAAACCCTGGAGCAAACCTCAACACCGGCAACCAAAGCTGGGCAAGTCGGGCCCTGCGAAAAATTTGTTAAAGCCCCTACAAAGAAAGCAAAATCAACTGTATGATTGTTTGTTTGTAAGTATGCTATATTCCATTTCATAATCCTTTATTAATTTAAAATAAAATCCTTCAAATATTTTGATAAAAGTTGACAAGACCCCAAATGAAAACTGAAGCCTCTCCAACTGAACCCAAGAAACCAGTAACTGACCAGCACTGTCAAGAACTGTGTTGTAGTACCCACCACCAGCCCTACTAAGAAACAACATATTTACACATACCCTGAATCAGATGTCCATAGAACACAGAACACACTTGGAGCCCTCTCCAGGGAGAGCCTCAATTTCTAGGACAGACAATGTTTGCTGAGTACCAAGCCATCACTACTACCCGCTTCCAAGCAATCAAATTCTCTTTCAGGGAGAACTGAAGCCTTGTGGATCATGAGCTCCAAAGAAAAAATGCTGCAGTATTTCAAGAACCAGGTTACAGTTAACATGTTACAAAGCTTTCAGCATTTTAAGTCTGATTCCCCTGAGATTTCTACCAGGATGGTGGTACCAGGTGGTAATGTTACCCAGCCATTTGCATTACACATCAAAAAAAAAAAAAAAAACCAGTTTTTTTTTTTTGAGGAAAGAAAAAGAAGTCTCCTAACCACCATTATCTTCTAATACACGTGGAGAAAAGAGAAGTACAGAAAGATTGTGAAACAGTGAAAACCTACCTACCACACCCGAAATCTCCCTTGGAAAGCTAAAACATCCTACAGCCCTAGCACACCACTACCTTTCTAAAGGCTCTCCAGGTTCAAACTCGAGAAAACGGTTATAAAAAGCACTCTCCCCCTTTGCCCCCAGAGCCCTCACCCACACTTCCTGCTTCCATCCCGGCTTCTCTGGTGCCCATTGTCCGTGCATTAAAAGCAATTTTCCCTGTTTGGTAGAGCTTGCTCCATGCTAATTATTTCTCCCTCCCCCTGAATTAGCCAGATGCAATGCAAAGTTTCTTCTACCCCTTCCCCTCCCCCAAAACAGATGCCATCCTTTTATTTTGAATACCGACGCTGAACCTTGGCATCTTGGAATCTCCGGATATAAAATGTATTCCCCCATGTTTCAAAAACTGCAGTGTAAGTGAGGAAGAGGGCACAGGGTGGGGTAGTTGGAAGGAAGGCATGGATTGTAGAATCATATTTATCAGGCTGTAAAATTATTCTCACTTCATCCCACCTCGAAACTGGGGCCCTTGAAGGGGTCTGAAAGCCGTGGCTAAGCCCCCCCGAAAGTTAGCTGCCAAGTCTCCACCGGTGGTTGCTGCCGGCAAGGAGGGGATGGAGCTGAGCTCTCAGGAAAAATGCAGAGGCTTTGCGGTCCCCCAAGTACCAAGTGAGAACTAGAGAGGAGGGGTCCAAGCCTGTGGAGCTGGGCAGTCCTGCAAGCCCAAAGCTAGCAGAAGCCCAGGGTGCTGCTGCCGGTGGTAAGGTGGGGGAGGGAAGCAGAGAGGAGGAGAGGAGCAAGCTCTGCATCGGGTGGCGTAGGGGTGGGGGCGGGGGAAGGGGATGTTCTGAAAGTGATGTACTCCCTAATGCAGGAATCCTAGCCTGCCAAGGAAGGTCCCGGGGGCCCCCAACAACCCCCGAGTACCCTGTCGGGAGGGGGACGGATGCATCCGAGTAAAGGACAGGGGAGTCCTGGCTGCCCTAAGAACCCACGAGCCCCAGGCTTCTGCAGTCGGTAACAATCTGAAGCCGGATGGGGGAGAAGGATGCAGTAAGACATGGGGGAGGGGGTAGAGCTAAGGAGCAGCCTAGAAGATCCGGACGGCGCTGCCCTTCCAGTGCAACCGGGCGAGAGGCCCCGACTCTGCCCCGGCTCTGAGAGATGGGGAGGAGAGGGTGCTGCCCTACGGAAGGGGCGCCGAGGGCACGCCAGTGTCCCCCAGTGCAGCCAAGAGCGGAGGAGAGAGAGGGTGTATGGGGGTGGGGGCCGGTGGTCCTCAGTTCTCCTCAGGGATCCCCAGTAAACACGGTAGAAGGAAGCAAGACTTCCAAACACCTGTCCAAAACAGGCAGGGCACAAACCCCGCTCCACTGCCCCTGGAGCCCCGCCGCGCACTCTGCGGCAAAGCCCCTGACTGGAGGTGGGCGAGCCCCGCTCCAGGGTCCCGAGGCGAGAAGGGGAAGCCGGCGGGCGAGGAGCGGCGCCGGGGCGGGGGCTATGGGGCTACTTACGGCAGCGGCGGCAAGGGAGGCAGCGGCGGCCCTAACGCGGGGCCCGGGAGGCGCGGCCGGACTGCGGAGGTGCGGAGGATGCTGCGGGCGGGACTGCGGTCGGCGCCATCTTGGAGCGCTCCCCGCGCCCGCCCCCCGCGCCGCCGAAGTCCTTGCATAATTGATGACTCGCGCCCGCCGCGCGCCGCCGCGCGCGCCCCCGCCACCGGGCCCCCCCGCCCACCGTGCCCCCGCGCCGACCCCCGGAGCGCGCCCCCTGCCCGCCCCCTGCCCCCGCCCGCGCACGCCGCCCCCGCCCGCCTGCCTGCCTGCGCCCAGCAGCCCACCTACCTCTGCAGGGCGCGCCCGCCCGCTCGCTGGCTGTCAGGCCGGCGTCCCCGCGCCGCTCGGACCGGATCCGGGGCGAGGGAGCAGGGCGCCGGCAGGGGGCGCCGCGCCGGAGCGCCTCGCGAGCGTCCCCGGGCCCGCCTCCCCGACGCCCCCGCCGAGCCGCGCGGGAGGGGCACCCGGGCCGAGCGCCGGGACGCGGCCGCTGATCGCTGGCGGGCTGTCAGCCAGCACGCGGGCGTTGAAACCCGAAAGGTGCTTTGTGGACTCGAGGGCCCCGTGACCCTTGGAAATGCCAAGTCTTACCTTTCTCCTGAACGACAGTCGCAGAAGGAAATGCCTAGTAACAGTGCAGTGCTCAGTTGTTAGAATCTCTGACATCTAAAAACACCAGGAACTCAATTTACCCGATCTTTGGCTGCCTGAGAAAAAAACGCAGAAGTCTATAAGCAGCAGCTGGAGCCTTGTGATTCAGTGGACGCGGCTCCGGTATGAGGAGGAGGGAGAAATCCCTTCCCCCAGGCCTGAAACTGTAATGGTCACCTTAATCCTTTTGAATCTCAGTTTGTCCATCTGTAAAGTAGGCACGATCATTTGAACTGCTTACTCTACACTCTCTTACGAGGATCTAGACAATGAATGTGAGAACTCTTAGCACTTTATTGTGCTTCTCACACATATTTCTTTTTACCGCAAGTTCACAGTTAAGAGTGAAAGAGTATGGGCAGGCCGCCGCCACTTACTGAGTACCCTTGGACGCGAACAACTCTGAGCTTCATTGTTCTCATCTGTAAAAGGGAACAATCATAGGACTGACCTGATAGGTTTGTTGTGAGAATTAAAGAGGAGAATGCCTTTCACACACTGCGAACACGATCTGGCACACATAGTGTGCCCACTACATACATTTTTAAATAGCTTTATTGAGGTATATTTGACATAGGATAAACTATGCATGTTTAGAGTAAACAGTTTTGACGTATGTATGCATGCATGAAACTATCACAACCATCAAGGTAATGAACATACCCGTCACCTCCAAAAGTTTTCCCAGGCCCCTGTGTAATCCCTCTGTGCATCACTCTCCCACACTCACTCCCTCTCCAAGCAACCACAATCTTCTTGCTATTACTGTACAATAGTTTGCATTTTCCAGAATTTTAAACAAATGGGATCATAGAGTATGTACTTTCTTTGTAGGGCCTCTTCTACTCAGTTTAATTATTTTGAAATTATTCAGTTGTCTATCAATAGTTCTTTCCCTTTTATTGCTGAGTACTATTCATTATAGAGATATACCACAATTTGTTTATCTAGTCACCTGGTGATGACATTTAGGTTATATCCAGTTTTTGCCCCTTATAAATAAAGCTGTTATGAGTATTTGTGTGCAAGTCCTTGTGTGGACATATGCTTTTATTTCTCTTGGGTATAAATGTCTAAGAATGGAATGACTGAGTCCTACTGTAGATGTATATTTAACATAGTAAGAAAGGGCCAAACTGCTTTTCAAAGTGGTTGTGTCATTGTACATTCTTACTAGCAGTATATGAGAGTTTCAGTTGCTCCACATCCTTGACAACACTAGGTATGGTCAGTCTTCTTCATTTCAGCCATTCCAACAGGTAAGAAGTGTTATTATGGTTTTGACTGGCATTTCCCTAATGACTAAAGATACTGAGCATCTTTTCGTGGGCTTATTTGTCATCAGTATATGCTCTTGGGTGACGTGTCTGTTCAAGTCTTTTGCCTATTTTTTAAGTTGGGTTGTTTGTTTCTTATTAATGAGTTTTGAGAGGTGTTTATATATTCCAGATACAAGTCTTTTATGAGATACGTGATTTGTACATATCGTCTCCCAGTGTGGGTGGACCTTTTTATTCTCTTAAAGTCTTTCAAAGAGCAGAAATTCTTAATTTTTATGAAGTCTGATTTATTACTTTCTCCTCTTCTATGGATCATGCTTTTGGAGTAATATATAAGTTCTTTTTTTTTGACATTGATATCTAGTGTTCCTGCACTACCTGATTACCCTTGCACCTTTGTCAAAAATCAATTAATCAAGTATGTTAAGGGTCTGATTCTGGACTCTCTATTCTACTTCATTGATCTTTTTGTCTATCTTGACACTATACCACACTGTCTTCATTACCCCTGCTTTATAATAAATCTTGAAGTCAAATAGTGTCAGCCTTCCGACTTTGCTCTTCCTTTTTAAATATTGATTTTGTTATTCTAGGTCCTTTGCATGGCCATATGAATTTTAGAATCAGCTGGTCAAATTCTGCAAAAAAAGCCCCCTGGAATTTTGATCAAGATTGCATTGAGTCTGTAGATCAATTTGGGGAGAATTGATATCATAACAACACAATGTATCATTCCATTTATTTCAGTTCTCTTTAATTTCTCTCAACAATGTTCTGTAATTTTCAGGATACAGTTTATTTTTCACCTTTCTGGAATTTATTCCTAAATATTTCATATTTTTAATGCTATTAGTGTTTTTATTTTTTAGCTGCTCTGCAAGGCATGTGGGATCCTAATTCCCGACCAGGGATCAAACCCATGCCCCCCTACAGTGGAAGCTCAGAGTCCCAACCATTGGACCACCAGGGAAGTGCCAGTGTTTTTATATTTTAATTTCTGATTATTCATTGGTAATATATAGAAGTACAATTAATTTTTATATATTGACCTTATGTATTGCAACTTTGCTAAATTCACTTATTAGCTGTTGTAGATTTCTTTGTAGATTCCATCAGATTTTCTACAGAGACAATTATGTCATTGGCAAATAAAGAGTTTTGCTTCTTCCTTCCATTCTGAATGCCTTTTATTCCTTTTTCTTACCTTATTGCACTGGCTAGGACTTCTAGTACAATGTTGCATAGAAGTGGTAAGAGCAAAAATCTTCCTCATCTTAGGGGGAATACATTCAATCTTTCATCACTAAGTATGATGTTAACTGTAGGTTTTTCCTAGATACCCTTTATCATGTTGAGGAATGTCTCTTCTTTTCCTAGTTTCCTGAGAGTTTTTATCAGGAATGAATGTTGAATTTTCTCAATCCTTTTTCTGCATATGGCTTTCCTTTTTAGTCTGATAATATGGTGAATTACATTGATTGATTTTCAAATGTTAAACCAACCTAGGATAATGTATTGATCATGGTGTATTATCCTTTTTATATATTGTTGGATTTGATTTACTAACATTTTGTTAAGAATTGTTGCATCTGTGGGACTTCCCTGGTGGTGCAGTGGTTAAAAATCTGCCTGACATTTCAGGGGACACGGGTTCAAGCCCTGGTCTGGGAAGATCCCACATGCCGCGGAGCAACTAAGCCCGCGCGCCACAACTACTGAGCCTGCACTCTAGAGCCTGTGAGCCACAACTACTGAGCCCATGTGCCACAACTACTGAAGCCTGCGTGCCTAGAGCCCATGCTCCACAACAAGAGATGCCACCACAATGAGAAGCCTGTGCACCACAATGAAGAGTAGCCCCCGCTCACCTCAACTAGAGAAAGCCCACGCACAGCAACAAAGACCCAATGAAGCCAAATAAATAAATAAATCTTAAAAAAAAAAAAGACCAGGATTCAAAAAAAAAAATTATCTTCTTCATCCTTGGCCATATTTTTTGTTCTGAAATTTACTTTGTCTAACATAGACAAATACTGGCATGGTATTTCTTCTTACATTTTTAAAATTTTAACCTATTTATATCTTTATATTTAAAATGGCTTTCTTTTGGGCAACATATGGTTGGGTCTTGTTCCCCACTCCCCACCCCTGCCAACTAACAAGTTATGTTTTTCAATTGGGGTGGTTAGACAATTTACAGTTCGTGTGATTATTAATATGGTTGGGGTTAAATCTAACATTGTGCTCTTTGTTTCCTATTTATCCTTTCTATTCTCTGCTTCTTCTCTTTTTCTGCCTCATATTGATCAATGGGAATATACTTTATGAGTCCATTTCATCTACATTGTTGACTTATTGCCATAACTCTTTGCTGTGTTATTTTGCTACTATATAAGTTTAAGTATTTGCCTTAACTTGGGTACTAACTTAAACTGTAACTTCTTTGACCACTTGGGCTCTGTGTGCATTGCATACAGTAGGCTTTGAATACATACTCATTGAATGAATGAGCATTTATTTCTTCTCATCTTACATCAACATTTAGAGATTACCTGCTTAGGGGGCTCCGGATAACTGAACTAGAAGTTGGTTTTGATTGGAGCAGGCCTCATACCAGGTGAAGAGACAGAGAACTGACTTCCGATATGGTAACTATATCAAGATGATTGTAAAGAGAAGGAAAGGAAAAGAAATCCACAAAAAATGGTTAAAGTAGAATTACTAAAGGCTTTATGTAGTATAATTTATAAGGAAGCCAATGTGTAAATAAGTTAGAGAAGTTGAGGTTACAGATTTTTTAAAAATTTAATCCCATGACATAGAGAAACTCTTTCTTCTTACTTGCCTTTGTAAATGGTTTTTGCTTTGCATTTTTGAAGCTCTATGGTTGTTATAATCAGGATGTATGTCCTCCTTATTAAAACTGCTTTTCCTGAAAATCAGACCCTTTGGAGCTATCATTAGACATTATTTGCCAAAGAGTGAGAGAGGACAGAGTTCTATATCCTTTCTCCAATATTTTCATGAACATGGAAATTCAGCCTCATGGGATTACATGGGGTTCATGTAATAGAATCTGTTACTTTTAAGCTCCGAGTAGCTAAACTTACAAACTTTTCAAAATTTGAGGATCTTTGCTGACTTCGTGAGAATCT